CTAAAACTCGCGGATGGAGGCTATGGCATCATCATGTCAGAGCTGGGCTTCGGCCCAGAGCTTCTCGATCCCTTCATCTTCCAGTACCTCGTGGCCTGGTTTTTTTTCAGAGTGGGTCTTAGGAGCATCGTAAAAGTTGCACAGTATCATGCAGTCGGCGCAAAAGGCTCGAAAGGAGCCTCCCGTTGGACATAATATCGCCGCATACCTCGCTTGACCTTGTCGAGTGCGAGTGCCAAAAATCTTAGGACTTGCAGATGGCCTTGTGATTCTATGAAGCTAGCTTGTGGAGTGTGTGTGAGATAGGTTTCCCGAGATTGAAAGAGATGTGGCATCAGTGGCTGCTGGGGCTAATTACGAACGCAATTTAATGCCTCGCGGGCTATCGAGCATTGGCTTGAAAGTTTGATAGGAAATCACAGCGATGCGACTCACGTGCTTCTGCATTTGCAAGAATTATGTAGACATACACAGTCTCATACAAATACGTCAGCAGACCTGTGCCAGCCAACTGATCGGAATATCTATGTCTAAGCCGCTGAAGCCTTCTGTTTGTATATCTATCTGTGTGTATATGCGTGTGCGTGTATGTGCGCCTGTATGTGGCCCTGACACGCGGCGGCTGCTGGTGCCCAGGACATCATTGCGCAGAAGCTTTTGCCGGCTTTTTGCGAGACGTTGCTCGGTTCGTCTTCTGGGAAGGCAAGAAGAATTCAGAATCAAATTGATTGTAGATAAAGGTATGGACCAGCAGTTGGCTCAATGCCAGAGAGTCACGAGACTAGGGCTTGGTGCGACACGCTACATTGTAAACCATATATATATATGTATACAGAGTACACATACATACATACATACATACATACATACATACATACATACATATATATATATATACATATGCTTACTTATTTATAGTTATTTTTCTATTTCGATATCCAGACGCTATTAACTAACAAAGCATTCCGTGAAGTTGGGTTAACATGGGTGCTGTTTATCGGATTATCGTGATACTAGTCTATGAAGCCAATTAAAGCGCCCTTCCTCATGCGCCCAGGTTGGATTCCTACCGTGCCTTCACTGTCTTGTACGATGCTGAGAAAGACGGCGACCGTGAGTTCCTTGGCGGGGTGGTTCTGTGGCTTACAGGTTGCACGGGTTTGGAATTGAAATCCAGGGCGTAGGTTTAAGTTTTAGGGTGGTTTGTTTGTGTCTGTGTGTGTGTAAGTAAGTAAGTAAGTAAGTAAGTAAGTAAGTAAGTAAGTAAGTAAGTAAGTAAGTAAGTAAGTAAGCAAGCAAGCAAGCAGGCAGGCAAGCAAGCAAGCAAGTAAGTAAGTAAGTAAGCAAGCAAGCAAGCAAGCAAGCAAGCAAGCAAGCAAGGAAGTAAAGTAAGTAAAGTAAGTAAGTAA